TGGGTGGTAATGTTTTCTGACTTAGTCAGAAATTGCTCCCTAATTGTTGACAGCCTTGAGGTAACCCATGCCCTTAGTGATAACTAAGCAGAACTAGACATTCACCAGCCTCTGCTTCTTTGTCTTTGAAACACACGGACAATGTACCCTGCATATGGCTCCAACTATCTGTTCCATCTCCTAAAGTAGACGTTACTGATTTGATTTGATTTTTGTACATGTGGTAAATACAGAGAAGTCAGAAGTTCTTCGTATAATACTTAGAAATATGTATGATTGCTTTTTTGACATTATTTGAGTTGGAATAAAAGTGCTCTATAGCAGTGGAGGGCAACAGGAATATTTTCCATATAGCACATCATGTGTCTCTGTTTAACCAACTGTGTTTAGGATCTGGCATGAGATAAGAGATAAGACAATATTTTAATGATTTTTTTGAAAAATCAACTTTTGTTTCTAGAGCAGAAATCTTTGGTCATACTTTAAAGTCTCTGAAAATTGGATTTGTTTCTCCTTTTTTTTTCTTAAATAGACAGATACCTGATTAAAAGGCCCATTTTAACAATATACAGCACAGGAGTAGTCAGTGAAAGGAAAGAATCAAATAAATAGAGTTAAACATAACCTTGACTAACATGTCTTTGTTATCCATGGATAGCAGCCCAGTTAATAAATGTTTTCTCACTGGGAGGCCAGACTGGAAGCTAATGGTGAAATGCAGCTACAACATACTCCAGATGCTAAAGACAAGCACATATGTAACAGTCATATAGAAGTGCTATGCACAGAATGAGTCTATATGGGAGTTAGGCTGATGATGAAGTTTGGGTTTTCCTCTTCACTAGCCCTTGTGTGAACGTTTATGCAAGCTGGAGAATTTGGGGCAGGGAGAGGACTTGTTCATGTTTTGGATATGTTGCTTGAAATTGGTGCTTACAACTGTCAGGGGTTTGTAGATAGAAAAGGCAAGAGGGAAAGATGAAAAAGAACAGATTTTGGCAGAAGTGGTAGTTCAGGCATGCAGAATAGATATCCTAGCCCACATAATCATAAAAGTGTGTCTGTTTGCTAGAGTTGCTACATATCTCTCTATGGTTAGGTTTCTGTCTTTAAATGTAAATGACACAGTATTGCCTTTAGACTTTGTGAGTCACTAGACCAGAGCCAAAAAGAGTTCAAATATGAAAAAGATGTTTTGTTACATTTGCCTTTAAAGGAATAGTCTTGTTTTAAGAGAGACGACTTGTATGGTTTTCATAATAATTTCTTCTCCTTTTCAGCATTTGCCCACATTTTGTTAACTGAATCAAGGGACAGCAGAAGAGAGCAGAAGTTCTTGACTTGCTGTCAGCCTGTTCAGAAAAGTCTTTACAAAGCCGTGGGAAATTTAAGAATGTAAGAAAGTACAATTCTCCTTTCCCGCGCAACAAAAATGCCTAAAATATATGACTTTGTGATGGTTAAAAGATAGCTGCGAGCTGAAGCTGGGCAACGTTTCTATCACAGTCCAGCCATGTCATGGGTCATGTGGTTCAGCATGTGAACAGGAAGGTGAGAATGGGTGAACTTTTGCCTCAGTTGTGCAGTCCATCAAAGAATAAATGGACCAAATCACTCTGCAGCTGTATACGGAGGTGAACGGCTGAATACCTCTCACACAGAGGCCTTTGTGTTCTGGCCATGATCTAGCATTATGATGGGCTGCGCTAGGCTGGGGCTTTGTAGCAATTACTGACCCATTATCACGCTAGAACATGAGATCATTTATCTTCTAATTCAGAGTGTCACCTGTTCTTCATTTACCAGTCAATAACCATTAATTACTTTCAGTGGAAATTTAAACAAAGCTTTTCCCCTCTGTTAAAACCAGTAAGCCATTCAGTAATGACAAATAAACCCGGAGCTGTGTCTCCCCCTTTCCTCGCGCTCTCAGCCTGGAGTCTGGTACAATATGAACTCTTAGAGGAAATGCCTAGAAATTGATAGGTCAAGGGCCTTTAATAGTCAGATGGGGGACAGAAAAAAAGGCACATTCCTGGCTCTTACTGTAGCGAAAGCATATAGCTTCTAGTAGTCCCCAGATTTCTGACTGGCCGCACAGGCTGTACCTGGGGAAATGAATATCTGAATGCAGAGTTTGTTCACAATTTGCCTGTCCTCTGGCTTGTGTTTAATTTTTTAACAGATTGTTCATGCAGACCCATTCAAAGTACCAGTATTTGCTTGCCTTCCTTGAGGTGAAACAGAACTATCAGTTACATTGTTTGTAATGATTAGTGTGTCCATTTTTTATACCTGATTTGCCTGGGATGATAGCGAATGCCAATAATTGTGAATGCCAGAAAAAATAAAAGAATCAACAGTAAGAGATTCTCAATAATCATTAATCTAAACATTCTTTCCCGAAAGGAATTGAGGCAAAAATTGCTATTAGTAACTTTATTTAGCAACTGTGTTTTTTGATTGCTAAGTTGACCCTGCAGAAATATATTATGGTTTAAGCAGTACTTCTAGGAAGGGGAATATTTGCTCTTTGAAATGGTAGAAAAGAGGGGATAAATCTAAATGCATTGAAGGTGGTTGGTTAGATTGTCAAGGGCTGGATTTTTTTGCTCTTATTTTGCAGCTACTCCTTCATTGCACTTCATATTTTAGAACAGCAGACAAGGAAGTTCTAAATTTTATATTAATACACAAAATTAATTTATAAACATTTGAAAGACTCACTGGATTGCTTATGTAACGTAAGAGCCTGAGCTAAAATTGTGTCCAATGAATTACAATACTGAGTTTTTTAAAGGTGGAAGGATGCCAAAAGCATCATTAGTCTGATCATGTTTTTATCAATAAATTATGTTTGTCCATTACATCTCTTTAAAGCTTGCCCTGTTTGTGCATTTCAAACAAAGTATAAAGTCAGGAGGAGAACTACTGTAAATTTGGACTGCGATTTACCAACTGCCCAATCCTGAAAATCCGTATTCACTCAAGTAGTGCCTTCCCACAGAAAGCAGCTTCTTGTGTTCAGATGGACTTCTTAATGTTAGCTGAAGGTCGATGAAATCCATGGCTAGGCTAGGGTAATGCCTACCCATTACTTATTTTGAAAATGCCTTTTACCTTTCTGTGAATCTGTGCTACTGTGTATCATACAAGTTTGTCCTGCCACGAAGAAGGAATTGGTGATTTAGCATGACCTCTCAAATCAGCAGGGAAACCCTAGTGTTCCAAGAAAGCTAATACGGGTGAGGGAAGTTAAGACATCTCCTCCCCACAAGAAGAGTTTCATCAGCCAGTCGGGTATTTTTGCGTCATTGGCTGGGATGCTCAGCCCTGGAAAGGAAAAAGAAAGTTGCTGCCATTGTCCTGCCCAGCAGGTCATATCCCTAAAGCACAATTAATGTCAAGAACTTACACAGCAGTTGCCCAAAACTCAGCCTTCCATGCACGTTCAAGATGCAAAAAGGTTCAAAAGGAACATGTTAATAAAATCTTGTCAAAACTTTGGAAGACACATGAAATAATAACTAGGAAGAGAAATGGCTTGCAAATAGAACAGTTTAAGTGGAATGTATCTCCTTGCTATGCTGAACGCTGATTTATTAAGAAGTGGAGGGAGAAAAAAATCGGACATTTCAGGTGGTATTTACCAAGAGAAATGGAGCCATCCCAAAGCTTTTATTAATCTGACTTGCAGAGTATCCACTACTCTCAAGGGACCTACTAAAGTTGTTTTCTTTAAAGCTGATGTGAAGAGGTCAATGCAAATAGCATTGTGGATTACACTGGGTGAAGGTGGCAGTTCTTTTTAGCATATGGAAAGAAAGTTGAATTATTTTGTTTCCCTTCTCTGGTTATTTATTAAATGAGGATCATGCCAGACAGATATTGCCCTCTTCCTTTCCAAAGGAAATTAAGTGTTTGCATCATTTTGATTGATCTAAAGCAATAATTATTTTGTCCACCTACAGTTACCAGGCAGTAGAGCAGTCTAGTGGCTAGAGAAGTGGTTTGCGCATCAGAAGACTGGAATTCTTAGTTGCTGAGATTGTACCTGCTGCAGTACCTCAGACACGTTCTGTGCCTCTTTTCCCATCTGCTTCCCTGTTGATTGAGGCAGCGAGCCCTCCAGGATGGTGCTTATCCATCATTCTGTGTCAGTGGGAGGGGGACTCTGGAAGATTTTGTTTTAGGAAGTAATCAGGCTCCCTTGAAATGCAAAAATGCTGATAATCTCATGAAGGAACCAACCGCTATCTTCATCACTGTGCAGATAGTTTTCTGAAAGAGAAATGGGAATGATTGTCTCGCCTTTCTATCGGTGTTTCTCTGTTGCGGTGTCAAAAAGAAAATGTTTATATTTCTGTTAAATTAATTTCTGTTATCCAAAGAGAAGGTGTCTGCTAGAGGGCTTTACTGTGTGGTATTCAGCACATAATCAACAGGATAAATGGATGAATTCGGTCAAATACATTGTTGACTGTTCTTAGTTACTTTATTACTTATTCTTAATTATTACCTCAATTTAGCCAAAACAAAACAGAAAAAAGTGACAGAAGTAAGTGTCAAAGGAACCCATATTTTCTTGTGGTGTTAAAGTGCTTGGAATTTTTCTGCGACAAACAGTTAAGAGCACTTTGGATGGAAGGACTGCAATATTTTTTTTGTCCTCCCCATATCTTTGTTGATACATGTAATGTTTTAAGTGAACCCATACTCCCGAGCAAATCTCAGTGTTCAAAAATAAATGTATAAAAGTCTCTCCTACAGAACCCCCTGCTGTGAAACAAATCAGAAGTCAAGTATAGCATTGTTTCCCATAATAAGCAACAAGCAGAGTTGGGCTGAACTGTTGAATAGCCATCACATTAGGAAAGTGCTAATTTCCCTAGCTTGATGTGTGTAGCTATCTCCAAATCAAAAATGCAGTAATATAATATCATGTACCAAAGAGGCCAGTTGCATATGCACTAAATCTGGGTTTATTTGTCTTTCCACAGGCTATGTGGCTGATGTTGCAAACAGATGAGCCAGAAGACTTTGTCATAGCCACCGGGGAGGTCCATAGCGTCCGTGAATTTGTGGAGAAGTCATTTAAGCACATTGGCAAAACCATTGTGTGAGTATGAACATGAGATAGTAGCCACAGGTCGAACACTAATAACCTGCGGCCACTGCTGTGTTACAAAGCATTTTTTCTCTACATTCTTACTTTTTTCTACTTGCTTTCTAATTTTGTAACATGAGGCCTTCTGGGCATAAGTCACTATGGCAGAGGGTAAGTCCACTATAAAAAAAAAAAAAAGGCAGGAGGGTGGATCTTGATTTTTGGTTCCACCTCTTCATTCTCTGTTCTCCCATTCACTCTCTGTCCTGGGAGACAGATGCTCTTCCAAATATATTAGTTTTAAGCTCTGTTCATCAGTCTTCTGCAAAAATCTCCATGCCCTAATCTCCATTTAGCTGCTCCCCAAATCCAGGATATCTCCTTAGTTACACTCCTATCCTTTGCTAGTGAAAGAGATGACACCTGCCAACCCTGCTCTGTTCCACATGTCAGTCCATCAGCCACACCACAAGGATTATGTAGCAGCTCACCCTGCATTCCTATCAGCTCTTGTCCTACCGAGCCGTAAAAATGTTGAGCAGTGGGTGCAGAATGTTTACAATGCATATTCCACATAGTTTGATTGAAAATACAAAATTCCTTCTCAAGGCCATATAATAAAATCAGGATGGCTTGGTGAGCGCTTTCCGTAATTTATATTTTTATTGTTTATTATTTTTTCAATTTCCCTCCTTCTGTATCTTCTCTGGGCCCCATGCATCAACATACCAATCTCAGCTGGAAAAGGGAGAGGAAAGCCACAGGCTCTTCCATGACGCTAGCGCCAGGGCTGTTCCTCAGGCCATCAAAGTCACTTGTGCAGCTGGTGAACTTTTGACAGGGCCAATAAGTTTTACTTGGGAACAAAAACTTGACAAATTCAATAAATATGCAGAAGTGCACAGATATATACAATATTATTTGAACAGCCAGTGGGTGGCTGGGGAGGTAATAATATTTTCTCCTCAATGAGTTTTTAGTCTGGTTCCAATTTTTGGCATCAACTTTCAGGAAAAAAATATCTGATAGAGGGAGACTGTATAAAGAGAATTTCTAGACCAGGAGCTCAGTTCTGGGATATGTTTTTCTCCATATTTTTAGCATCTCTTGACACTGTGATGTTCTTGTTTGATCACACATTGCTCAATATGCCTTAACAGCAGAGGTTTGATAGACTAAAGGGCCAGGGGGTAGCGGGAACTCTATTAATTGCATTCTTTATTTTTTCGTCTTTTTCTGTACTTTTGCTTCTTCTCTTTATAAGCTACTTCTCCCTAATAAACATTGATATGTACTGAAGTTGTTAAAAGGATGGTGAAACAGAATTATATGTTGTAGATGTGCTCGTTCTGTACAAATAAGACATCTGATATCGAGATTTTTTTTTGTCCTGCCCAGTGATACTTTGCAAAAGGAAAAATGACTGCTTGGTGAGCAACATTTTTTTAACTTGGTTACCTAAAATTAGAAGTTGAAATGTATAAGTCAGTAGCTATCCAAATGTTAGGATTTGCAAATGTTCTCATGATTCGATTTTATTGGATGTCAGTAAATTTATCCACTAGTTCAAAATTTATCCTTGCTTTGTTGTTAAGAAGTCTCAATTTCCCAGGAATGATAAATAATCATGTATTTTCTAGAATGTAAAACTCTAAAAAACCATAAGGGAAGAACAAGGATTATTCAGAAGCAAGCGAAAGTACTTTTATGAATGGCTTCTGTTATATAGAAGATAGTAGAGACTTATTTTAAATTTGTTTGGTCCTAATACACAGGATTTTCTGTCCCATTTGTTTGATTTTTTTTACTCATGTATTACAGAATCATATGGATATAATGGATATAATCATTCAGGTTGATGATCATTGCATTCCAGGTTTAAATTAAGACACTTAGTTGCAAGTTTTACTCTTGGTGAAAATTTAACACAATTATTTCAACTGCTGATATAGAGCTGTTATTTTATGTGCACAAAGGCATATTTATTTTTTTTTAATTAATCAATCAAAGTCATTTTCAAAAATGGTGTAATAGTCTATGTCCCATCCATTGCCAAGGATTTTTAGGAGCGTGTCTAACAGTGTCTAAATCACTTTTAGAAACAGAATTTGGCTTTCTAATCTCCTTGTTCCTTTGAAATCTTTCTTCACTTTATGTGCTATATTAACTACATCCTTGAGTTAGTTATGAGTGATATGTAAATTACCTGTACATATGGTACTGAGGTGACATTTTAGGTGCTGTTGACAATTTTCCTCAAATATTTTTAGAGGAATGCAGTCCCAATCATTTTAGAAATAATTGAGTCAAGTTCCTTTCCTCTGCTCCCTGCTGGGGTCAGCATAAAAACTGATGCTCTGCTCATCCTGGAGCCATCACTCATCTTTCAAGCCACTATTAGATTTAGAACTTGTTTTGAGGATCAGGAAAATTGTCTTAAGAGTCTCCATAATTTTTCTAGGTGTCAGCTTGGCCTGTGTTTTTCCAGAGCACACACATGCACTCGCTCCTTAGCCCAACTCTCTTCTTGCCTGGATGGCTGCTCGCGTTCTTTGAACCTCGCCAGGACTTTCTACTCCCATCTCCTGCAAACTGAATATACCTCCTTCAGGGAGTACCCTGGCAGCAAAATCTTCCCCTTCAGTGTTGCAGGACCCCCCTGGTGATTTCCAATGATCTACTGCTTGGAAATTTAAGTAGCAATGAAGAACCACTGCACCAGAATGGATCGCTGAATGGGATCCTGTAAGGAAGCTCCCTGAGAGCTTAGGTGCTTTTCTGTTTTTTTTTTCATTTCTTTTTTTTTTTTTTTTTAGCAGATATCATTAAATTGCACAGTCCCAAAAACCTATCTGGGAAATTTCCTGTGCTCTAAGTGCCAGCACAGCTTTCCTTCCCTTCCCTTTCAAAATCAGTGGCAGGGTGGAGTTGATGCCAGAAGGGGATGCAGAGGCAATTGCACGGGCTTGTAGCACCCCTAAGTACACAAGTGTGCTGGGCTGAGTTTTGGCAGGGAAAAGTGCAAAGGGACAAAGTCTCAGCTGTCACAACTTGATGGATAGTGAGCCTAGGCAAAAAAAAAAAAAAAAAAAAAGCGATCCTTATTGCCTCACAACAAACGTAAAGTATATTTTTTAATATTTTTTGTCTTCCTAACATATCCCATTGACTGTACAGCTTAGCCCCAAACCTCTTCCCAAAAAATTAGCATACTACTCTGTTATAGCCAGTCATTACCACATGTTGAGAGTATATTTTCTGGCCAAAATATGATAGACAAACTTTATTAATATGCTTTTGTAAATAATGGCATGTACAGCTGCAATACGCCTGATGTATTCTCTCTCTGAAATTGACTGTAAGGTACATGGAGAAGTTTATCTATGTTATATTTTTTTTCTTACAAGGGAGAAATTTGAAACTAAATTTATATAATTCTCTGAATCATTCAAATTCAGTCCTTTGTACTAACAGGAAAGCCTCTGAGCTACAAATATTTTCCCCCTGTAAGGAATACAGTTTTCTTTTCTTTTTTTTTTTTTTACTTTCCCTTCTACTCTTCTACTTACTACTAATTAAGCAATATCTGGGGGAAACACTTCCCGCCTATAATTTGAACTACAGCAGGGTAAACGAAACAGGCAAATGCTTGTCTTGACTAATTTTGTGTCATTAATCTTATTAAATTAGAACAGGATTGCAAAGATAGCCTGAAACCACTACAGCACTGTGAGGCCTTTACAGACTGCTAAAACGACAGCTGTCTGTAAACAGAGGAGAAAAAAAAGGAAAAAAAGAAAAAGAAAAAAACTGTTCCAAGAGTGGAAAGATTTATTGTATTTTTTTTATTAATATAAAAATACATACACATTTTTTACAGAAATATCCATTGCTTCCAGGTTCAGAATTAATTCAGGGAAAAAAATGAGTATTTTACTGTAGTCATTTGGCTTTTCAGTGCAAATTTTACCATAACTAACACGCACACCTAAAAATAAGTTTGCAGACGAACTATAAGATATAATGAGAGCAATTGCTGGCAGGACTGGAGCAGTTGCCTCTGCAGTGGCATGGAAGGTTGAACTGAAAGAGAAGGATTTTCTTTTATTTTGATTTGTATTTTCTTTCTATTTTACAATGGAAGGTTGAGATACAGAAACAGCGGGGAGATGAGAAGAATTGCTGCAAACACAAAGCAGCTGAGACATTGGTGATGGTGGCATGGGGAGGGTGAAGAGGGTCTAAAGTCTTCATCAGCAGCCTGTGGTTTCACAGCTGGCTGCTGCCCACAAGAAATGGTTGCCTGTCCAGGGACTGTGTGCGCACCTTAACAGCACAGGAAAATCACAGGTGTGCAGATCAGCAAAAAGGGGACAGAACCTCATACATAAATTAAAGACATTTTAAAGACTAATGGTTGTGTAAAACCCTGTCTCAGTGGAGAAGCTTCTTTGGGTAAACTTACCCAAGCAGTGATGCTTATTTTATTTTTATTTCCACTGTCGAATACACATTTTGGGAGGCAGAGGGAGAGTTTGCAGTGGATATCCGTGATCTCTTAGGTAGTGTTGGCTTTGCTGTCCATAAAGCATCAGTGCTTTGACTACCTGTGTGTGCAGTGGCAATCAAGTCCACAAAAATGGTGTCTTCAGTGAGCTGTCAAAGACGAGCAAAATTTTTCTAAAAATTTATTTTTTAATAATTTATTGTTGGTTTTCAAACATGAAAAGGTTTTTCCACTGGTGTATATTTAAAAAGTGCATGTAATGGTTTTATTTCCCATAAAGAGGTTGAAGGCTTTAGCTACTGATGACTTTTGAATATTTTATAAAATGGCATCGGTTCTGCCTCCAGGTAAAGAGGAAGTGATGGGACAAAATGAATATACTCCTTCAGCTTCTCTGTGCTTTTGTGAAAGGCACAAAAGCTTGTGGGTTTCGATGATTTGTGACTTCAAAAATACGTGCACTTTGCCTTGTTTGCTACTCAGTTAAAGCCATTTGGACCATTTGTTCCCCCCACCCATGTGTTGACCTGGCTCCCTTATGCTATTTTCTGCTCATCTCACACCCCACGGATTGCCCCAGCTCTTCACCATCAGAAAGTCCTCTGCACCTATTTTTGTAGCTTGCAGCTTACCATCTTAGAGAATGGCTATAGGGAATGCAAGAGAATTGGAAGCCTGGGAGTCAAGGAGAGCTCACTATGCCTGATTTGCAGGGTTCTTGCATACATTAAATGAACTTTACAAATTAAATGCAACCCATGTCTCTGAAAACACAGACTGTAAAAGTTTGTGAGGGGAAGAGTATTCTAAACAAGTAAATTACAGCACATGTTTTTAGAACATGATCAGCTTGTTAGTTTTATGGAAGCGTCTGAGGTTGCTGACAGTCACAGTATCTGTCACATTTAGCAGTGTTTATTGCCCTGGGTGTAGCAGGGCTCCTATCTCCAACACCAGGGTATTCTGTGGGGCAACGGGGATGCAGGGGGCATCAAACCCAGTTTCTCAGTAGTAGACAGCACTATCCTGTGTATCTTTGAGTGCAAAGTCTTCCGCAGCGTGGCTGATACCATGAGTTTTGAGAGAAAACCCATCACTGCCACACGTGTCACATGCTTGGAAACTCCGGGCTGTGACACTAGCTCCATGTGTTGGGGGGATTCATTCCTCATCCTGCTTGAACCTAGCCAAACGTTTTAGAGCAGGGGTTCATGGTAGCTGGTTGTTAGGTTTGTTGTTTGTTGATTTTTGCCTGTCCAAGTTATGTTAGGTTGTTTTCTAAGGAGCAGAAAGTTAAGTAGGCCTCATGGTTGGAGCTGTCTGAAACTGCAGCAGTGTCAGGATTCCCCGTGTCTCTTCGCCATGCTAACTAATGCTTCAGGGTTATTTGGTATTTTCCAATTAACAGTTCTGACCAGAATTTACCTATAAATAAGTTGGGGTTGGTTTTTTTTTTTTTAATTTTTTTTTCTTTCTTTTTTTCATTGTGGTTAAAAGACAAGGGAAGTTGGTTAGATAAATAGATGTCTTGTTCCTGGTGCCTGGCTGGCACCCCTAGTCTCTTTTATCAGCAGTATGGTCTCCCCAGCTGTGAATGCAGAGGTGCCAGAAGTAATTTCAAGTGCTGCTATCAAGTGTGTCTCCCACTTTGTTCACAATGAGAAGCACTTTTTTTTTTCTTGTGAACTTTTCACATTCCTGGGCTGTACGAAAAGGGTGGAGTTTGCTTCTTAAGTTATTTCTATTGTTATATAACTTTGATAGCCACATTAAGGGAGTCTTTACTGGCTCCGTGGAGCTTTCTGGAGACTGTTGGGTGTTAAATGGGGTTCTCTGCTCAAGTGACCTCCAGCAACAGCTGACGTCTCCTGATCTAAGCGCTTCCTGTTGTTTTACTGGTGACGGTTAGTTTTCTATTAAGCTCATTTGAGTCCTGCACATTTTTACCCTCTGCCCTTAAAGGGAGGGACTAATGTTAGTTTTGGCTTCTGAGTGAAAATTTTACAGTGCAGGCTTCAAACAGAACAACTGCAGAAAAGAAAGATAGACAAGGTAATATATTAATCATCCTTAGCATCATGGCATTCCTTATTTACAGATGACTTCAGTGTGACTGTTAGCTGTTGGAAATTATTTCATTGTAAAGTATGCATTTATCAGGCATCATACAAAGTTTGCTACTCACCAAAAGTCATGAGTTTTGCTTAAAAAAATCATGGCATTTAAAAACTAGTAATAATGTGTATTTGGTATTTCCGACTGCCTCTCGGTGTTTTAACCTTCAGGGGGACACAGAGGTCACATTTTCAGATTTTCCTCCATAGCCCTCAGGGCTAGAAACTCAAAAATGAAGTCTGAGGTTGTCACAGAATTAAATTCTTCTAGGAGCTTCAGGGGGGATGAGGGAGGAAGAAAAAAAATCAATTACATGACAAAAATCCAAGAACAGGCAACACTGAAAATATGTCAGTATGACTAGTAAGTGGGAGGCAAAGGGCACTTTCTTTTATTACTGATGACTGAAGCTACCTAAACTAAATCACAGTGCTGATTTAAATTACATAGATTTTACTTAAACCTAAATAAGCAAAGAATTTCATCACCACACTTTTGTGCCAAGCTATTTCGCAGCTCCTTGACAAATTTAGAGGCAAAAAGTAAGAGCAGGGTAGAGTTTCAATCATAACTCTGGGTTTTGTATATTTAATCAATTAGATTTTTAGAATCAGATGAAACATTTGTTCTGAGAGGGGTTATTGTCTTCAAGCTTCCAGACTGAAATCTGGCCATTTTAAAGACAGAGATCACGCCCTGCCAAGCCACTTCTGTCTGGTGGTATATGCGACTCAAAATTTTACATCAGGACAGTTGCTAACAATACAGTTCATGGTACAATCAGATCACACAAATTATAGCAAATTGCAGACAGTTCAACACAAACAAAACTAAGCACTTCAGGCAAAATAGTTGACTTTAAGTTCACAGGCAGTATGTATAATTTACAGTACATGTATGTGAAGTGCTGTGTTGAGCTAGGGCTGAAAACTCAAGAACTGTTTTTGTTTTGTTTTGTTTTTCTAGTTAAGCACAAATTAGATTATGCAGCTTAATACTATTCAAACAGAGCTTCACTTCTATAAAATTAACAGATTAAAGAGTTCCTGAAAGCACTGTCCAAAATGCAAGAATTAAAAATATTTTTAGGAACAATTTTAAACAACTTTGAACCAATCCACAAATGAAAAACCTCATTTTCATATTTATTTGAAGATACATAAAATATTTTGAAATCAGGAGGCTTTATTTTACCCTAGCATTATGTGTTTAATTTGGAACTCCTATGTTCTAGGCCTTCCACTGAATCAAAAACCAAAACAAAGAGACTTCAAAAGCCATTGTTGCTCCATTCAAGTCTAAACTCTGCCTTTGTTCCTATAGCTAATGAGTTTATACTGTCCTGCAGGGAGAATTGACACCAGCCTCAAGTAAATGAAAGCAGGCCAAATGCTGGTAAGATCAGAGCACTAAAGTAATTATGGGCTGATTAAATGTTTATCTTCTTTACAGGTGGGAAGGGAAGAATGAGAATGAAGTAGGACGGTGCAAGGAGACCGGCAAGATTCATGTGACAGTCAATCACAAGTACTACAGGCCAACTGAAGTGGTAAGAAAATGCCCTCCCTTAGCTTTGCAAATGAATAATCCAATCACTCAGCCAATAAATTGCTGCATTTGGCCAGCAGTCTCTGAAAATGGCTTAATGACACTGCAGTTGCCAGCTTTTAGAGCTCTAAATTAGGCTGCTCATTGGCTGCTTCACAAATAGCTACCCTAAAACAACCAAACACACAGCAACGTATCAGGAGAAGCAGATTTACCCCGCCACAGAGGTGACTCTGAGATTGACCCGGCCAAGCAGAGGCTTCGGTCACTGTGTTTGGATGGAAAAGGGGTGTGAAACATCACCCCCCTAGAAAACAAAATAAAATTCAAGTCAGCGTATTGTTGCTTTTGGTATCAAATCGAGGTGTGATCGTTTCTCCTCTGACTGTGAGCAAAGGAGGGAAGGTGTGCAGTATGCTTGCTTTTTAAACCACCTCCCTCTGTGTCTTCGTGCAAGGGATCCAACTCCACACAGGGAACATCGCCTGGTCAGCTCGGGTCTTTGCAATTCTTGGGATCACAAAATTCCCGTTTTTAAAGTACAGGAGTGTGCCTGTGTGCTGTTTGGGTGTTTTGCAGGGCGCCACTTAGTAAATGCTTATGCCCACGTGAGGCTCTAGGTGACCCTGCTTGAGCAGGGGGGTCCCTTCCAACCTCAGCCATTCTGTGATTCTGGCCTACCAGTGAAGCCTGGCCAGGGGATTCAGCCAGCACTAACCAGCCCAACAGGCCACTAAACTTCAAATTGACTGAGCTGGTTAGGAGACAAGAAGAAAATCCTGCTCATAGCCTGGGTGGGATGGTGGCAGCACATGGAGCAGGCACAGGACAGAGCGCAGCTTTTTGGCACAGCCAACAATAGTCCCGGTTGTGCTCGCTGGGAGCGGGTGTGCCCAGGAGAGGATGTTCTGGTCTCCTGGCCGGGCTGATACCAGCCCCAGTGGGTGCTGACGCAGCATCGGCTGTCAGTCAGGCTGTTCAGAAGCGCTACCTTCAACTTCCTGCTACAAGCAAGGTGTGACAGAAGCACATTTGTCCCAACACAGATTGCAGGGTGGAAGCGGGGAGCTGCGTGTGCATAAATGAACATCGGATCTCAAGTGGACATTCGGAAGGGGATAGAGACTTTCATGTTATGCAATTATTTAAGAGGGCTGGGCCTGAGTATCAGAATCAAACGCTAGGAAGTCATTAAGGGCTGTCTGTCATTCTGTGCTGTGGTAAGGTGTCAGGATGATAAGGAGAACACAGAGACAAAAGGACTTGCCAAACAGGAAAAGGACACTTGACCCAACAAGTCTGTGCTTTATGAGACCCATTTTCCTGCTTTGTCATACTTCTTGCTCACAAGTACCTATTTACTCTTCAAAATTCACGCACAGTACATCATTGTGCTCACCTTTTTTTGCTGAAATAGTTTTGTCTGTGGTCTTCCCTCTGCCCTTACTGGTCACCTTTTTGGAACACAATTTGGATTTTAGATTCAGCTCATTATATGCTTGCACGTTTTGAGACAGTGCAGACACATAGGTTAATTTCGCTCTTACACTGACCTCATCTTTTCTTGCCTTTAACAAGCTCCCTGATCCATTACTGTGGAACCCAAGAAGGCTGGGAAGCTGCTCTAGTAAGTTGGGGCAGAAGCACAAAATGGGTTTTGAGGGAAAAGGCAGATGAACTGTTAGCATACTCCTATATCACCAGGGGCATGGCAGGACCTATTAGATGTTGTCATTAACTCATTGGAGAATACAGAAGAAGTGGTAATTTTCTCAGCCTATGAAAGAGCAAAGACTGATCTATCTTTGCCGGGGTTCATTTCAAACTGGTTTCACCTGCCTTGATTTTATTTAACTTTCTAAGTTGACTCTGCACATTCTGTCATGCCCTCATATTCAGAAACAGCAAGGCGTGTGTGTCTATGTGGTGTAGGCAATAATATTCATGTATGGCATAAAGGACAGGATCACCAACTATCAGATCCTCAATATGTCTTCTGAGTTTCTCTCGACTGACAGCAAGTTGACTGACACTGGTTTTTGGACAGTTATTTATATTTTTATACTAACTGCATTTCTGACATAATGCCATCAGCCATGCAGCTTCTGAATGAAGATTTCTTTGGAAATTTTTCTCCAATGGGAAGCAGTAAAAACATTCAGTCAAGTTTTAACTTTTTCCATATTTGATGCAAACAGAGAAAATCCGACCTAAATTTGCATGTATGCAATACTTCTCAAAACTGGTAAGAATTTGATAGATCTTGAGTCTGTTACATCTACATGGAAAGAAAATTGGGGTGGCCTGATCCTAGGGTTTCCAGTCAACTTAGCATCCACCCACAAGAACTTAAGTCCCTTCCTAGGGCATCTCAGAATGACTTCTCTTTTAATTATTAATGTATTTTTTAAATTATGAACTTATTTCCTTTTCTTATCAAAGGAAAACACACTTACACCTTTTTCAATCAGGGAATCATATCTGTGCACCTGGAAAATACTGGAACAATATCTAATCCATAGCCCAAAAACAGCAAATGTAATGGTGGAACTGAAATGGAACCATTTCACATGTCCCCTCTCTCTACCCTCAGCAAGATCGCTGAAGCAAAAGAGCCTCAGGTCAACATTTTTGAAGGAGTTTTAGCCACATCAGTTAACAGGAATTCTGCTGTTGAATCCTAGCTGGCATAGCAAATCCAATGCTCAGATTCTCATGTCTTATTTGGAAACATTTCTGTCTGCCTGTCTCTCTAAAATTTAACATGATATTCTGGAGAGAGAAAATAAATATCATTTAATCTTGTATGCAATCAGTTCAGACAGTGCCAATACATTCATTTGAAAACACATTTGTTTCCTTCAGTTAGTGATCCCTAGGGTCAAGGCCTCCCATTGAAAAGCTTAGCTGTACTGAAGAAGAAACCTTGAAATGTGAGACTGTCTTCTGGTCAAACTAAGTAGACCCTTTGAATGCCTTGACTCTAAATCTTTTCACTCTGCTTTTGACTCTTTTGAGGCCCTATGATATTTACTGGCCTTGGGAATTATTCCTGCTAATGCTTCTAATGCCTGTCTCTCTCCTTCCCTCCCCAAGTCTTGCTAACTGCAGCCTTACTGATATTGTTCCTTTTGGCTCATGTCGTGCTGCTGTCACAGTCCTTTCTGACCCCCTTTTTAACTGTATGTGGAGACTGTAACATGATGGCTGCGAGGATTAGAGAAAAATGGTTCCTCTTGCTTTCTTAAAATGAGTGACTTTCACAGGAACATCATCACACAATTGCTCTTTATTCCAAACTTGATAAAGTATGAAAGTGGCTTTCAAACATTTTGCAATCTTTTTTAGCACATGGCAAGAGTAAGGGCATAATTTTCTTCTATTTGCTGCTATTTGCTCTAGGCATGTAAGGATAACTCTTACTACAGCTTGGTCGCCTGTAAAATGTATATCTGTGTGAAGAATATGCTCTCACTAACTTTTTGTATTTTTGCTATAATTAGAATGTTCAAATTGTAGGCAGGTAATGTAATCCATACTTGGATATAAACAAGCCTTTGGCTTTCACAAAAATATTATTAAGATTAATTTTAAAATTAAATTACAATTTAAAAACTACATTGAATGAGCCATCTCATTCAGCTGGAAACAAACCACCCTGCAGCACAGGATGTTGGAAGAATCAGTTCTCATATACCCTGAAGCTGATTGTTTGTTAGAAAGTTTTGAACTGTCTTAAATTTTCTTATCTTTCAGCAAGATAATTAATTTCCTGTCATCTCCTCCATCTCTTTTACATATATTAAAAAAAAGAATGATTCCAAAATGAACAGCATGACAATGATATCTGAAGAAATCAAATGAGATGATCAAGCAGAAATTTCCCTCCAAGGATAACACAGCCATTACTTCTAAGCAAATTATGCCTTTTGAGATGTTTGAGTAAAACTGCTTATAGTATTTTTGCATGGCAGATATTCAGCTCACAGTCCCATAGTTACTTACTTCATTTTACTGCCCTTTTCTGCAACAAGGAAGTTTAATTCCAAGTCTCACCCTTGTGTATGCTACAAGGAATACCTCCGTCTCTCTCCCACCTGCTTCTGTGGGTATTCTACAGCTTGCTTGAAGGAGGAACTATAGGTTGCCTTAGTGCATCGTATATATTATGGGCTGGCACAGATGTCTCTAAGAGGATGTGCATACAGCCGTGCAAATTTTCTTCCTTTAGGAAAGCCCCAGAACCACTGTCACAGTGAGAAAAAGTCATGCTATAATTTAAGCAGTTGTCTAACCTCTTATTATTCTTCAAAGAAAAAAAAAGAGAGAGAGAGAAGAAAGGTATGCTAACCTCTTCCTTTTGTTATATGCCTTAAGCAACTAGGCATTTTTATCCTAGTACTTTCTAGCAAGGATATAAATGAAACCCCATTTAATGGTTAGCAGAGTAGTTCATGGCAGCCCAGTGACCAAGGATACTATGTCTGCTTGGAATTATTTCTTCCAAACTGCTCTAACTTTTCATAGGTTTCTTATTAGCCTTATTAGCCTCCTTACTGGGTTGTTTATTTGTCAGATAAGTATTTGTTGTATTTAAATGTCTATAGATACATATATTTTTTCCAAATATTCTGCATCTTGCATACAGTATATTTTACATCTCTGTTTGACTGCATTTGGCCTCAGTCGCCCTTTTCCTTTTTAGAATTAAGCAGGACAGCTTTAAATTTCATTCCCTTGAAATGTTTTTAAAAATTCAGCTTTATGTTTTCCATGTTTCATAGGATTCCAGTAAAAATTCCTTGGGGTATATCACATTCTCTCAAAGTCAGCTTTCTTAAAGTCAAAACCGTTTGTGAACTCCTAAAGAGTGTTGCTGCCCTAAAGAGCATTTAGGCAGCAAAACTGTGATCACAAACCCCTAAATGCCAAGAACTTTATTTTTCATACAAGCTTCATTTCCTACTCTTAATTTCAGAGCAGTCTGTGACTGTAAACTGC